GTATATATATATAAATAAAAAAGAAATTTCCTTAATAGATCACAGCTGCACCTCAGAGTTTGCACACAAGATCCCACCACAGGTTCTACCCTCTACACACCTACATTCAACCATAAACAGTCAATACAAAGTAACTCATGAATGTTCAGGTGTATTTAAATCAGTCAGCTGATCAATGGCAACAAAAGTGATTGGCCTGTTCAGACACGCGCACAGTAGTGCATCTGGGGGATGACAGGTGCTGCACTGCTCACATCAACAGACTGTCTGTAACTAACAGATTTTCCCTCATTTTGCAGGTTTACAGACATTTAGAGTCTAACAATCTAATGGATCTTTTCAAAAACTCAACTTCAAATTAATTTTTTTCTCAGAGCCTAGGACACTATAAAGACAATAAATAAAAGTAAATAACTCAACCACTTATTTCTATTTTTTCACCTAGAAATAAGCCTCTCCCCCTTTCCTCCTTTCCTTTTGCTGCAGCCTGTGCTATCTGCGGCTGACACCCCACGAGCTTTCTAAATCGGACCCCAGACCTCTCACCTGTTTAAAAAATAAAAACCCAGGACTGTTGAACAGCTATAAACCTCCATTAGACAAGAAAGGACAATATTTTCCCTTCAAATCCTCCAGCAGCTGGTCTCAGTTCAGGATGTTTGTTAATAGAAGAAGAGAGAATTCACAGCAAAATATGGCCTGGAAACAATTTTTTGCCATAAAATTCTAAATTACCTTATTTTTATTATCCCTAAAACTATGTGCCATGTTCCATTATGAAAAACATGAGTTAAAGAATTTAACAAATATTTGTTTTTTTGCATCTAGAAGGACGATAGCTGATAGTTGTCCCAAATGTCACTAAATAACATCAATTAATTTGTATAACTGTCTGTGCACGTGTTATTTTAATGAACACTGTGGGGGAAAGAAATAATTTTGTGAAAATACCAAAAGTGTGTTAAAAAAACAAAAACAAATTTAGGACAAAAACATAAATAAAAATAAAAAAATTACGCTTTTTGTGATTTTCTTATATCAAAATTCAAACCCTCCTCCTTTAATTGGACTTTGGGTCTGTAAAAGTTGCTGAAAAGAGACACTCTGAGCTATTTCATTGCAGTGATTTCTTTTTGACGAAAAAAAAAGGAACAAACATTTCCACCCTGCCCTTGTTATTTATAACATCTAAACTAAATGAAGCTACACTGTGGCTATGAGTTTTTCAAAATCAGCTGTCACTTGTTCCACTCTGACTGTCTGAAGAATTAAACCAATATATTTATTTTTTATTTCACCCATATCAGTGAAATGCTGTTACTTCTGCTGAGCTCACATCTTTGCTGGCTTTGTGCCGTCGAATAAAGCAGCACTGTGTGTGATGACACCTGTACTCTGAGATCCAGGTGTGTGCTCATCAAAAAAATCTGTTGTTTCAAGACATTTTTCCAGGAGGTTCCTGTTTTCACACATGCTTTTTGTGACAATAAGAGCATTATTCAACAGTTAACTACATGTCTACCGATAAGGTAACCTGATGTTACCAATAAGGAAGAACAGTAAAATTACTGTGCGTTGTAATAGCCTTGGATTTAAAGCTCATTTTGGATCTGCACCTGTGTGTCTGCTTTTACATTTATCTCAAAGTGAGGTACAAACAGGTGCACTAAGTTTAGCACAACTCTGCTGCCACACAAAAACAAACACGAATGTTACAAGAGGTATGTGGTGAATATGTACAGTTGGTAGTCTAACTGTCATGGTTTGTTTACAGTTCAATGATTTGTGGTCAGATTCAGAAACAGTCACTCACACAACAGACTTCTTACCCAGATGTTTCCATCCTGTAAGTAAGGCCTCCAGTTGTTCTGTGTGTCACTGTAAAGCAGCCGGTACTGACTGGTCCAATCAGAGCTGCTGTACCGTCCCTGTGTAGCAATGGCAACCACTTGCTTCCGTGAGCCGAGGTCTATCTGTAACCACTGGTATCGGTCTGTGTCCAAAGGTGACCAGCCTCCAGCACCTGGGTTCATTGGGATTGCAAAATTAGACAAAATGTGAGGCAGAAAGTATAAAACATCAAACGGCTGAACAAAAGGTCTTCAAGAATGGAAAGAAGTCCAGTTCTTCTATTGAACCACTTGGGCTGATTCAGCACTGTATTTTCACAGAAAGTGAAACTTCTCCAGCTTCAGAAAATACCAACTAAAGTTCTTCAGAGGAGTACCTCTCTCATCGCATGCTTCAACTCAGTTATCTTTGATACAAAACAAAAACTCTAATCCAAGCAAGAGCTGCTAAAAAACAATGAAAAACATAAACATTTACCAGAGTTTAAACATGACAATGAAATGATCCAGTCGTACCTTGTATCCTGTTGAGTTTAGCATAACCAGCCCCATATTCTCGACCATAGACTGATGAACTGGTGAAGGCACTGTAGGCCAGAGGAGTGGCCAAGCTGTCCTCACACTTCCCTGGACAGACGATAACACTCAGTTAGAATAAAAGAGTCAAAAGACCGATGGCAGAAGCATCACATTCCCTCAGCTGATGTACACATCTTCATCTTACTTTGATTCTTTTGTTGCTGCGGAAGGTAAAAGGACAATCATGTTTTTACCCATGTTTGTGTTTTTATACATTAGCAAAAACATCTCATGAACCTCTATCCACTGCTGATTAACGTTTGGAGTCAACCCACACTGTAAAAAATGAAATGTTGGATTTACTTAACCATGTTATGAGACCTGGTTCCACTTAACTGAGTTGAGTAAATTCAAAGCAATATACCAGCTTTTTAACCAAAGAACATGAGCATGTTGCTTTGAATTTACTCAGCTCAGTTAAGTGGAACCAGGTCACATAACATGGTTAAGTAAATCCAACATTTCATTTTTAGAGTGCATTCAAGATGGCCGCCACAGCAACACAAACTTACAAAACACAAAAATGGCTTCAGATCTAGCTATGAATGCTGAGTTTTGATGGTAGTAGCTAAGAGTGAATCACAACATGTACTCTGAGCAGAAACTGTGAGACCTAGAGACGTGACGTTCATGAACAGTCCAAATCTTTTGAACAGCTCTTGATAACGACCAGTAGGAACTGACAGCTACGAGCTGTTCCTAATTTTATTTTTTCACTCCTTGTAAAGTCTTTATTTTATCCTACCTTAACCTCAAAGACACTCCTTCACTTTTTCACAAAAAAAGAGAGAGGCAGAATCTAGCAACTTAGGAGGGGGGGAGAGGGTCTGCTTGACAAAACATGGTTCCATTTATCTAATGTGATGATGTCATCACGTTCGCCCTACGTGATCAAAATCAAACGGCTCATTAAGATTCAGATCCCTTCAAAGAACCATCAGTCCCATCTCTACTGAGATCTTTTTTTAAATTCTCCATTAACTGTCATCTCTGCCCAGTTGTTAGCTAAATATCTATAATACGTATATAGCAGATTTTATTGGATCTTTTTGAAAAAAAAACAAGGTGTACAGCTCACCCAGTTGTTGGCTGATTTCTGAGTTTCATTAAAATGTGTCAGTTGGTTCATGAGATAGTTTGATGGACAGAGAAACTAACACACAGATGGACAAAAACATCGTTCCTCTTTCACCTTCAGTGATGATTATCTGATGGTCTTCTCTGGGAGTGAATGACATGACATTTACTTGTGTTGTTCACTCTCTTTAACACTGATTCATCATCATCTGGTGGCCCGTGTGCCACATATGGAAGCAGGTGTTGTCATTTTCTGGCCATTGGACGTTTAGAGTAGATATCAGAAACTAAAGAGCAGTTGTAGTAGGAACAGTTGTTCCTACAAAATCAAGTTTGTTCAGATACAAAAACATGAATCATTGTTGTTTATATGTTTCTATGTTAAAAAGCTGCCATTTATGTTGAGTTGTGTGTTTTTTAAGTGTTAGAACAAAAATACAATATAATTCTACAGAAGGATTATTTTTATAAAAACTCGGTTTTTCATATTTTTGTGGAAAAAAGAGCTAAACAAATTTCAAACGGATAAATGAAGCACTAAACTGCATTCTCAAAGTGGGGGCAGCCAAGGGGCCTGAAAAAGCTGGAGGGAAAATGATTTAAAAAGTTTTTTAAAAAATCAAGTTAAATATTAACATAAAATTCAGTTAATTAGAAAACTGCAGAAAACCCACACAAACATAAAGAACAACATGTAAACTGCACACAGACAGAAACCGGGTTTGAACTGGGGATTGAAACCCAGGACCTTGCTGTGAGACATCAGTGCTAATCACTGAGCCACCATGCTGCCATTAACAAGGTTTGAGTTTGTTTTCCTCCCTGTCCAATTCTCTAGTACTTTTTCTAGATTTCCTTTCTGATTTCACTAAACCCCAATTAGGATAATTACAGAATTAATGTAGACTTGTTTTTGTTCCGTATCCTTCCTTCCTCTCCATGTGAACATGTTGGTTCAATGATGTGAATTTCTGATGACAGACAGTTTGTGTTCCATTGGTGGTTTGTGTTGAATGGTTTACAGTAAACCTTAAAGTTAAGGTTTCCAGGAGCACTAGAGTCCAAAACAGTAGCTTCTTGTCCATTGCATCCTCTCTGGTGAATGTTGTCAGCAGTGTTGATCTGTCTGGTGAAGCTAATTCTAATTCCTGACCCAGGTATCATCCACACATATGTATCTAAACCTGTGGCTCAATGTTGGTCCCTCGAAATAGTTCAGTTTCTTTTTCCACTTCCTCAATGTAAAAAGTTATTTGGAAATATTGTAATGACAATATCAGGTGCATGTCTGTTATTTTCTGTCCTCCCTTTTTAATCTGTACTTACTATTCTATGTGACCTTAAACATTTTAGGCAATGTCATTGGTGTGAGATCCTGTCCTACTGGCTAAATATAGCATTAGTATGAAAAACACAATTTTAAAACTCTTGAAATACATTAGTCAACAATTATTGCACACTGCTCTTGGTTCCTGTGGGTGGCCCCCTGGCCATGGTGGCTGCCGGGTTCCGGGGGGTGGACGGCTGGGGGGTGGGGTGCACTTGGTCGTTGGCGGTGTGGTGGGGTGGTCATGGGTGTTGCTTCTCTGAGGCGGGGGGCTGGCCGGGCGTCCTGGTGCAGCCCGGGCCGGGCCTTGGCTACCTGCTCCTCTCCACCTCAGAATGATTGGGTCTACCTCCTGGATTTGGGTGTGTGCTGCCTCCAATAGGGGGTGGGTGCATGTCCTGGACCTGGGGGGTATAGAGTGTGTATCGGGGGTATGAGTGGAATGTGGCGTCCTTGTATGTCTTTGATTGAGTGGGGGTGAGGATGAGGGTGGGATGGTGCGATTGTATATGTTTGGGTATCTGTCAGGCTGGGGTCAGGGCTGCCCCTACTGCTGGTTTATCTGGGGTCCCGCTGCTACTCGGCCCCCCGGTGGGGTATGAGGCTGGCCGCCGGCGTGCTGGGGGTTCCCGGGGTCTGGGGCTGGGCGCTGGGGTGTGTGCCGGCCTGGCCTGGTGACTGCCTACTGGGGCTCGGGGCCTCTGGCCCTGTCGGGCTTTGGCCTGGGGGGGTTGTGCCCTTGGGGCCCAGACCTCTGTGCCCTTTCCTGGATCTGCTCTGGTATGGCAGGTGCTGGTGGGGCCCATGAGTTTGTTGCTGCTGTGTGTGGTCACTGGGGGACTCATCCAGTTCTCCCCTATGGTC